GTTCTTTCTCTATGTTCCCATATTTATTGTAGCTCACATGATCTGACACTTTGAACATTACTATTCCTGCACATTTTCATCCCCTTCATACACTGTTACTTCCTTTGCCTAGAGGCCTTTCTGTTTACTTTTCCATCTCTCTATTTTAAACCCGGAGATAACCTTTATTGAACTCAAATGAGTCCCACTCTTACTGCAACTTGTTTCATTTTCCCCATAGAACTTTCCAGGGTACTGCTCCTTCATGTTTCCACCCTAAAACGATATTATCAACTCACTGGGGAACTGGGCCTTTTCCGTCTTCAGCACCTAATAATAATAGCTCATTTTTATTATGTGCTTTTCTTATTCTAGGCATTTCACATGAATACATTAATTTAATCCTTACAACAATACAACAAAGTAAAAACTACTCTGATCTTCATTGCATAGAAGAGAAAACTAAAGTACTGTGAGTGAATTAACTTGCGTATGGTCACCTAATTATTACTGTTAGAGCCAGGATTTATACCCAGGCTGTTGAACTCCAGAGCCTGCAATTTTGGCTTCTGTGTCTAGACCCTTTTCTGCTTTAGTCATTAAACCTCACAGTCACTTGGTAGACATTTGTTAAACAAATACACATTTTTGTATCCCTAGCACTGTATTAGATTTCTTAGCATCTTGTTATAAACTGCTTTTGTAATACATACATATATATATATATATACACACCATATATATATATATATACACACCATATATATATATATATATATATATATATATATATATATATATATATATATCATGGTTATAACTTTAAAGAAAGAATCAATGTTGAGGCTTCTTTTGAATGGCCCAAGGTATTTAGTATAAGTGCTGGGTCATTGAACAGATGCTGAAAAATGCTTTATCTGACCTTAGAAGATTGGGCTAACCCTTATCCATATCTAATCTGTGAGCTCAGATGGTCACCCTTCTGAGCTCCCTATTCTCCAGAGGAGAAACTTGAGTCTTGGTCTCTGGAAACTATTCCCTAAGCGGGCAATGATTGCTGGGGTTTGGAATGAAAGAAGCTCGTTGCCCTGGGTCAGAGGTCTGGCTCCATCTTCCTACATGCTCCAGGGCTTGTGTCTGTTGGGATGGGAGTTGGGAGAGACAGAGACACATCTAGAGGTTATCACTCCCAGCTCAGCCCACTTAACAGAAACTGATCTCACCCTGGAGAAAGTAGTTACAAAGGCTTTTGAGTTCCTTTAATGCTGTCGGCAAATTCTTAGCTTTCTGCCAGACCTACCATTTAGCATTCAATTTAGCATTTAATGTAGAAATCAATTTAATACAACCAAATTAATACTGTAGTTTTCCAGAAGGAAAGATAGTGATAGTTTTTGTTTTTTCCTGCTCACTTCAGCTCAAACCTGTGATAATTTGTTTTGATTCTAGTGTTTTCTTTTTTGATGACTATAGACAAATGAGATCAGAGACTTGTGACCAGGAGGAGTCATCTAGTCATTAATTTATTAATACATATTTTTATCACCCCTAATTTGCCAGATACTGTCCTGGGTGCTGGAGAAATCTGAGGGGACAAGATAGGAAAAAACACTTTTTTTAAGTTGGTGAAGAAATTGAAAAGTAAAGTGATAGCTACTTTTGACATCAGAAGAAAGAAGGACCCAATCTGTTAGCCCCAGTTTTATTGTTGGGGGATATATATTTAAATTGTAAAGGTACATGAACTTCATTTCTTTAGCATGAATATTGCTTGAAGCCAAGCTTGCTTCCTTGCCTGATTAAACTGTAACACACTTGCCTTCTTTCCCCAACTCCTCCTCCCTATGCATATGCTGTACGTCCACTCCTTTTAATCATTAAGCCCTTAGGACATCAGGTTCTGGTAAACACCAGATTCATTTAAGAATAAAGCTTCAGGTCTATCAATCATGGCCAAGATACAATAACCAAAGCTCAAACTAGAATAAGGTTTTAGTCAAACAAAGATAACATCTTGGCCTCAGTTATGTTTCAGCTCCAGACTCATGAAAGAACAATGACCCCATGGACCTCATGCCCTGTGAACCGGAGAGAACTGACAGCAGGACCTGAAGCCGTGATCAATTGCTCCCTGTCTTAGTCCCGACCGATCGGTAGAGTCCATAATCCCAGCTCCCGTAGTAACCATGATTAGCGATTTTCCCCTTATACCACCTGGCTGCTAGAGGCCACTGGGGAGCTCAGTTTTTGAGAGCATTAGCTCACCTGTGTCTCCAGGCTTGGCACCAACTCCTTAAATAAACCTTTACTTCCTTTGCTGCAAACTCCTGCTCGTGTTTTCTTTTGGCTTGGATGTGCGCAGGCAAGCAGACACCTTTGAGTCTGCGGTAACAAAATCACAAGGCATAGTTCAGCTATTGGAAGAAGTAATTGTCCAAAGATGAACTACTCTTCTTAAGGTAGTGAGTTCCTCGTTACTAAGGCTGTCAGGCCACTTGGCAGGTGTGTTATATAAGGAAAATATAACCTAACATTTTTATATTTTATTAAAAAAATATGGAATGCTTCACAAATTTGTGAGTCATCCTTGTGCAGGGGCCATGCTAATCTTCTCTGTATTGTTCCAATTTTAGTATATGTGCTGCTGAAGCGAGCACTAACCTAACATTTTTAAAAAAGACATTGGATGTCTGTTTGGGCTGGATACAATTTAATATACATTCAAGCCTTGAAATTACATGATTCTGAAACATCTGATAGCATATGTAAAGTCAAGAAAGTAAAAATATCTTAATATAAAACAGAATTATAACTCCATATTAATAAAAAGGACCCTATAATTATTAGATTATACAATATGTTGTATACTTATAGATTAGTAATACTTATGCATGTACTGTATATGTTAAATACTATTAGAGTATACAATATTTTGTATACTTATGGATTACAACTTTAAGATTATACCTACAATTTTATTACATCTCACCTTAGCAGAGACCTGGTTCCTCTCTGGGACCTACTATGTTAATTATCTAACAAATACTTAGGCGATGAGAAAGAGTAACACATCTTCATGAAGGGAGACAAAATTGCTCCTATAATTCAATATAGAGGTCACTAGGCAGCTGCTCTTTCACTGATCGGGGGAAACTGAAGCATATAAAAATGGTACCATGATCTTTGGAAGAATATCTAAAGCAGTGTCTACTATATTTTTAGGTGGTTGAGCTGCAAAATAAAGCTTCTACAGGAAACTGGTCATTTTTGCTCCTTCAATACCTTAACTCCTAAGACCAGCTCTCCTCAAAGAGTTCAGAGTTTTCACATTTGAGTCAATTCTTGCACGTTTCTAGTGTGGGAAACAACCTCAGATTGTGGCTGATCCAGACAGAATTCCCGGCTCTTCCACTGGCCCTTGACTTACTGCGTTTTTGTCTCGTTTGAGTCCGGTTGTTTGCTGGTGTTTTTTGTCTGCCCGTTTTTTCATGCACTTCTTGTTTCCCAAGCTCCTGACTGTTGTATTTGGGTTACACTTCATTGCACAGGGCTTGCCAAGGAAATTTAGTTTCTAGGAAAATAAAATGTTCTCGTGTGTGTGTGTGTGTGTGTGTGTGTGTGTGTGTGTGTGTGTGTGTGTCCGTCCTTCTGTCTCTTCCTTCAGGGCGAAGTCTCTTTGGGGCCACACTTCCCAGGACAAAGCTGGCCATGAGATCAGGGAGATAACTGGGCTAGAAGGAGAAATGGTAGAGTGGTTGAGAGCATGGGCCCTAGCAGCCTGGTTTGCTTCCTGATTCTATAAGTTACTGTGATACCTTTCATAAGGTCCCTAACTCTCTGTGCCATGGTTTCTTCATCTAGAGAAGAAAATAAGATTACTTAGGTTTGGTATTGAGTAGAATAATATATACCTGTGGCACATAATGAAGCACTTAATAAATGTTAGCTGTTACTATTCCTATTGCTGAGAGGTTTCTCTCATTGATATAGTCAACCCTGTGTGTTCTGAAGAGCTGGAATCAGCTGCAACTTAAGAAAACAGACCTAAAGGCTCATGGGAGTTTAACGCCATGATGGGAGTTGTGCATGTGCGTTAAAGACCTCCTTTCCAGCTAAAGGTCATAACTTTTAATTGAGCTCTGAGGCTGATTTGTGTGTGTGAGTCCTTCTTGCATATTCTCAGCCTATTTTGCATCTACTCTGAGGGTTGGGGTCTGTGCTTCAGCCAAGGACGCATCACAGCTAATGACTGTCCCCTAGAGGACTGGGAGCGTCACTAGCAGGAGACAGGTTGGCACATCCAAGAAGAACTTGATGGTAATGACATCCTGGCAGAACTTAAATATCTTCAGGTGAATCTGGAGCCATTTAATCTCTCAGCCTCTAGTTTTCTCATCAGAAAAATGGGGCTAATAATGACTCCCACGTAGGATCGTGGTGAGAATCAAATAAGATAGCAGCACATGTGAAATCTCGTAATTTTAGATATGTCTGTTATTATTGTAGTAATAATAAGAGGCGTAGTTATGATTCTCTTTGACAATTCTCTTAGGGGAACCCGCTGGGGTTAGAAGATTGTTTACAATAGGACTCGCCCTTAGAGTCAAAGCAGTCTCTGACCAGGGTTCTTAGTTCCACACTCTGATATAAAGTAGCATTTTAGGAGTTCAGTAAAGCAACATTTGGCTCCAGCCTAGGTGACAAACTTGCAACTTTAGGCTAGGGGCAATCATCTGTGACTTTGTGGAACTAGAATTTCTGCTCCACCCTCTGAAAAGCAGACAATAGGTGTTAATGGCAGTGGGGGTAATGCAAACTAGACCTTATCAGAGTTTTCCTTCAAACTCCTCCAAGCTTCTCCCTCCTCTCAGGTTCCCTGCTGGGGGCATTCTCATTATTGTGTGGGGGAGGCTTGCTTTTTTTTTTCTTTTTTTTCTTTTTCTTAACAGCCACCTGGGAATTCCCCCTTCAGGGACCTGGGGCTGAGGGTTCTATAAAAGGTGAGCGAAGCTCTCAGTTCAGTGCACCCAGGGCCTGCCAACTGCCTCCTCACCTTCTAGCCTGCTGCGCTCCCACCAGCACCATGATTAGGAAGGCCCTCATCCTCTCTACCTGGTTCGTCCTGGCTGTGACGTTCCCTGCAGTACCCCCATGTAAGTGGACCACTGGGAAGCCTTTGGGAGAACAGGGCTAATATCCTTTAAGGTGTGTGCGCCTGTGTATAGGCACACAGAGAGAAAGACAGAGAGAGAGAGTGCTTCTGTGAACGTTGTAAAGTGAAATGTGTAAAATTTATTTTGACTTGGTCTGAAGCTGGGGATGGGAGACTGAGTTCTGAGGACTTGGGCAGTTGAGTGACTACACTAAGATTTGGGTTCTGTGTTTGAATTGACAGCATGAAGGTAATAAGGCCTAAGGCCAGGCCAGATGCGATTAGGGTAGGTGATTAGAGAGCTAATGAGGGTTTTCTGAAGTCTCCTTCATTATTGGGTGCTAAAGAGGCTTTATTCTATTCAATGCAGTTTTAAAAGTCCTTGGGTGGATGCTTATTTCCTGACAGTAAAATTCAAAGTGCTTTAGCACAGCTCAGATCCACTACAGATCAGTGGGTCTGGAGTGGAAACTTGTGAATCACCCTGAGAAAGGAAAGAAACAGGTGTCCTCATGGACCAGAGAAAGGAAGCTTTCCCCCAGCTGCTTTCTTTTCTAGTCCTTCCTGAACTCAAGTTGATTTTTCAGAAGAAGGGCTGTTCATTCATTTACATTAAAATGATTACTTTCCCCATCATCTTCCTCCCAGCTATCCCTCTGGTAGCTTTCAATTTATCAGATGCTGGGTTTGGGATTCTTTACTGCATGTGAATGAATGATAAAACAAAGTGGCTAAACTAGAGAGCGAATGATTTTGGCCTCATTGACAGTGTGGCCATAACCTGCTGAAATAGTCAGCCACAATGACTGTGTATCTTTCACCATTGCCCAAGAAGACTCTGGTTCTATGCTCATCAGGCCTACATGGTTATGATGCTTATATGTTAGCTAGCCCCAAAAGGCCTGGACTGGGTACTCTATGGAAAATGGAGTCCTAGATCGTAAATGAGAAAATGGTAAGAGTAGTCCATTTTAGAGTCAATTCCATCCTTTATATGTACTTTGGAAATAGCTGTTTTCCTTGCTTCTTGCCCCTCTTTGTATTTATTTTTAATTTTTAGAAACCTGGAAGGATTATAGAGGTGGAATCTTTGGAATGTTTGTTCCAGTCTAATTCACATTTAGAGGGACAATATCAAATGCTCCTTCCTAAACTGACCCCTCAAGGAGGGTGGCATAGGGGACACTGAGCGTACTTCTGGGGTGGGGGGGTGTCGGGGGGGACAGTTAGTCTTCTGTACTTCTAGCAGTTGGTAGAAGAGAGATTTATGGAGAGAATACATTAGATTCAATATACCATGTTACATCCATGTTTTCTCCAGGGAAGATCTAGCTGGGAATGGGAAGGGTGGGTGTGGAGGTGGTAGAAATATTCTTGCTAGAAAATACTTGAACTGTCTTTTTCTTTTTGGCTCCTCTACACTTTGACATTGACTCAGACGCAGACATTTTAAATTACTTGGAGTCACAGGCCGAACTAAAGCCACCTGCTGCCCCAGAGTCAACAGCTGCCCTAGACCTCACTGATGATGTAGACACGACCACTGCCCTAGACCTCACTGATGATGTAGACACGACCACTGCCCTAGACCTCACTGATGATGTAGACACAACCACTGCCCTAGACCTCACTGATGATGTAGACACAACCACTGCCCTAGACCTCACTGATGATGTAGACACAACCACTGCCCTAGACCTCGCTGGCAATGCAGAGTCAACCACTGCCCTAGACTTCATTCATGATGTAGAGTCGACCACCTACATTTATTTGGAGAATATGCAGACTTTTGGTAAGTAAGGGTTCTGGCTTCAGAGGAGGCCTGGGCAGGAGTGGGTGGGCTCCTATCTTTTGTATTGCTGAGGGAAAGGCGGCTTTACTCCAGTGAACTTGATTCTCAGCATAAAGTGTGACCACACCCGTCTCCCATTCTGTTTTCCTAGAATTGTCAACTGATGTGGAATCAAACACCCCCAGCTTTGTGGAAGAAGCCACTGATGAAGCCATGGGTAAGGATTCCTGTCTTCATAACTGTAGAGATTTCTCCCTGCTTCCCTTCCCTTATTTCCAGCTCATTGCATGGGAATGTCCTATGGTAACGTCTACATTTGAGTATACTTTTTGCTGTTTTGTTTTCTGAAGTCGAGTAAACTTTGCCAAAAGTTCTTTGAAACTTGAGGGAAATGGAAGCTTTTCCCCAGAGTGTCAGGAGATGGAACCATTTGAATACTAGTAAGCTCCAGTGTGGAGATAGCCCTAACCTGGCCTCCAGGACCAGCCTGCTGGGCTTCTCTAAAGAGGATGAGTTTCTTTTGTCTCCAAGGGGTTGGTGGATGTGGTAGCAAGAAGGAGTTTAAGAATTTCCCCTTCTTTTCTACTTGATTAAAATTCAATTTATATAAATTTTTTTTAAATTTCAATTTATACAGAGAACTTTCTGAATGAAGATTATGTAAGTGTAAATCTTATTTGAATCTAGGCTGAACAGAAGAAAAAAGGGATGAAAACAGGATAAAAAAGCTTCATAAATGAAGCAGTGGTCTTATCTCTGCCCATCCCTGTCTGCCCCATAGCAAAGGGGTCACAAGATTTCAATGTCTTCTGCCACAATAAACAAAACTCAGTAGTTTGTGGGGGGCTTTTGATTTTGCTAAGAAAGAGCCTTGAACCTTACCTACAGAAGCAAATTTCTAAATAATCTGATTCTTATGTCTACAAATAATAGCAAACATTTGTTGAGATTCACTCCTTTCCAGCACTGCTCTTATTGGGGGAATGTAGGTAGTAGTTGCAGAAATCTAGAAATTGTGTTTTAGTAGACGTTGAAGGGTCTATTAAGAAAGGGTTGCTTCTCTGGCCTTAAATCCTTCCTCTTCCACTATTTATCTTCCTCGTAGAATATACCTCATTTGCAAAATAAAGCTCTACCTCGGTATTGTGCTCTAACTACCCAACCTGTAGCTGTTGATTAGTAAGTTAATGTGAGTCAATGCTGTCTCCTTCCCCCACCCTCCCACCTTTAGCCCCATCCCATGGGGTATTAGGGAAACTCTCATGTTTGACTATAAGAGCAAGATACAGCTTCATGGCCCAGATCCATCTTGTCATTTCTGCTATTATACTGGGCCCCATGGCCTGCTTATCAAGAGGTGCTTTCTGATTGGGCAATTACCAATAAACTAAGAGGTTTTCTTTTTCCTTTCTAGAATTCATTTATTTTTCTGGTTTTATTATGGTATAATTGACATATAACATTGTATAAATTTAAGGTATACAATATAATGACTTGATATGCATATATCAAAACTTCGGTGTTTAATAGGAAGAGAAAATTCATGGAGGTTTTAACCTTGTAAATTAAGAAAACTAATTCCTTATTTCTAGCAAATGTCACTGGTGATTATTCGGAAGAGCCCGTGACCGGAGGACCAGGTAAGACCAAAGATCTTTGACTTTTTCACCTATTCTTGGTCTTTGAGGGATATTTTTCTTCAAGGCTTTCCAGGACAGACTCAAGAAGTAGGACTCTGAGAGGTACTCTGCCCATGTTTACAGCCGTCTCAGCCAGGTGCCATGTTCGCTTAGCTGAATCTGCTTTTGGGGGAGAAGACAAAAAATGGCCCTTGCACATGAGGACATGACCAGTTCATGTATTACTCTCAGGGACTTCCAAGTGTGACTGGAGACTGGCCCTTTAACCAAATCCTCCTTGTGAGGTGTGTTTCCATTCCATTTCCACTGGCAGGATTTCAGCCATGGAAGAAGTGCCTTGGTGGTTACAAGGACGGTTTTGGTGTCACACTCTGTAGAGTCCTACGTTTACTAGGGCTACTTGAGGTTGTTAGCTGAATGCTAGACACACTGTCAGTGATACTTACTGGAAGTGAATAAAAAACATTTCTTAATTGCAGACATACCCAGCACTTCCATGAAAAGTGACAAGTTCGCTTGTTTGTAAGTTTCTTCACTCTTGCCCCTGATAATCTTATTTGGGATCTGACACCATTTTCAATGCTGGTTTTAATCCACTGGGAAAGGATTCCAAACTTAACGGACTTCCTAGATGCTGAGATCAGCTATAAAATTTAGTGTAAAGGTTAAAGACAACCTCTTTTCTCTCTGAGATTTATCTTCCAAGTCTAATTGTCTGGACTTGTAGTCATCAGATAGGCATAGGGTAAACAAGTTCTCTCCCTTGGTTTTTCCAAGATTCCTTTCTTCCTGTCTCTCTAGGATGTGAATTCCAGTCCAGCTCTTGAAATCTTTTTAAGGGAGAGCCTGCAGAAAAGGCATTAGATTTTTGATGCACAGACCATATAATTCAGCTAAAACCTGTAAAGACTTGGGACTCCAAATCGGGAGGTGACAGTTTTAATACTTGGTCTCACTCTTGGCTCTTTTGGAATCCACTGAAGTGGTTTCTTTGTGCAGTAAAATGGATACCTGGACAGTGTGTAAACATCTCACTTAAGGTACAAGGAGAGGAAGGGACAATAAGGAATTAGACTTTAAAGAAATTCAGTCACATGTGCAAGGTCATAGTGGGAAGTGGGAAAGATAGGCCTGATCTTTTGAGCACCAAGTTTTTTTGTTTCTCTTGGCAATGCCTGTTTTTCTTTTCTTTCTTCCTTTTTTTAGAAAATGAAGCAGATTATCCATTGGCTGTGACCTCTACTCTGCTAACCACAACTTTCCGAGAAGATTCTGAGCTTCTGAACAAGCCTACCATTCCATTATAGGAGTTTGAATAATTATAAAAGACTACTGAGACATAGGGTGTGCCCAGCTGAGGACGAACAGAGTGGAGAGAATTGTCCGCAGGCAGAGGAGGCACATTTCTTGATCATGTCCCCTTTAATATGGGATCAATAAATGTTCATTTGAAATGAATTTTGAGAGGGGTTTTTATTTCACGAGGTAATAGACTACTTAGTTGCCTTGTGTTAATATCAATAATCATGTTATTCACCTCTGAAGATCATTTATAACCAGGCTTCAACTCCTGATGGCCTTAGGAAAGGAACCCATGGAAACTATATGAGTTCTCCTAGTCCCGCCATAATAAATTACCACAAACTTAGTGGTAAAGACAACTCAAACCTATCATTTTACAGTTTTGTAGCTCAGAAATCTGAAAGGCATCTCACTGGGTTAAAAACCAGGTGTCAGCAGCACTGAGTTCCTTTCTGGAGGCTGTATGGGAGAGTCCATTGTCTTGGCCCTTTCATTTCAAAGCCAGCAATGGCTGGCTGATCCTCACATTACATCACATTAGAGTCACTGAAGCTGACTCGACTACCTCCTCCTTACACATTGAAGGACCCTAAGAACACACTGGGCCCCACCTGGCTAATCTAGGGTAACCTCTATTTCAAGGGTCAATTCATTAGCAACCTTAACTCTTTTGCTGCATTGATTTCAAGTTTTTTTTTTTTTTTCCAAAATGTGTCAGAAATCCACAAAAAACCAAAAAGTGGATATTTTGACTATTGATGCATTTAATAATAATTTGAGCTGCTTTGTATATAAATGACATTATTTTTATGTATAAAAATGTTGGATATATTCATTCAGATATATCCAACCATCGCAGCAAAAGGGTTAATTCCCCTTTGCCATATAATTTAACACTAACACACTCACTGGTTCTGGAACCTAGAAGGTGAGATAAACTCACCATATATGAAAGTCAGGGTTTACAATTCTTTTCTTTCAGCTCTTAGAAATATTGTGCCACTTCCTCTGGCTTTCATGTTGAATGATGTTTTCTGCTGTTGTTTGCATTGTTTTCCTCCTGTAGATAAGTTGTTTCTCTTCCTTCTAGATCTTTTCTTTGTCTTTATTAGATATTTAATTATAATGTGTCTTGGTGTGGATTTCTTTGGGTTTATCTTGGTTTGCTTGCCTTTTAAAACCTTTAGGCTGGGCCAGCCGAGTGGTGCATTGGTTAAGAGCTGGCTTGGGATGCCAGAGGGCCCCGGTTCGGATCCCACATATGAGGGCCCACTGCCCTCTACAGCTAAGATGCTAAACAACAGCTCAACCTGGAGCTGGGCAGCTGTGAGTCGCCAGCGAAGGCGTAGTCTGCAACCCCTGATGCAGTGGGTTGCCATGGGCTACCGT